CAACTGTTTTCATTTTCATTTTGTTTTTGTTTTATTTTCTAAGTTTGTTGTAAGTTTATTGCTGCCGGTTGTCACCGATTTCCTTGTTGCNTAGTCACTTTTACTATTTTCGTAGGGCAACTGTTTTCATTTTCATTTTGTTTTTGTTTTATTTTCTAAGTTTGTTGTAAGTTTATTGCTGCCGGTTGTCACCGATTTCCTTGTTGCTGTTGCTGTTGCTGTTGCTGTTACTGTTGCTTTTGTTTCATTTGTTCAAAGGTTGTTGTAATATTGTATTGTTGTTGTGTTCTGAATCGCTTTGTCCCTCCTTGTCGTTTTAATTTTTGTTGTTGTTGTTTATTACTATAGTATCTTCTGCTGCTGTTGCATATGTTTGTGTGTTTTTTTTTGTTATTCGCGTTTATCCGATTCCACTTCCAGCTCCCATTAGAGAGTCAATCGCGGCATCATAATATTACATCTGTAAAAAGAAATGATATTTATTCAAGGCGGCTACTATTTCATAAAAATATTTACTTTGTAGCAACATAAAAAAGTATTTGTATTCGCTAAATTTACATATGTAGTTATATACCATTCTGTGTCTACACAAATCATCTTCATTATTAGGGTATACTAACTCAGTGATCTAGCCAGACCTAACGTGATAATTCCTAATGATCACTCCAATCAAAGCATTACTTTTGAAATTAAGTAATTTTCGGATGTCTAGTTCCCTATTCAGAATATAGACAGTAGCTATTTTATGTAAATTAGTGAACCCGCATCTAAATCCGTTTCTGAGTGAAGGGAGGACTCGTATAGTGTCGGTTTTTAATTTTATAAAATTTCAAATCACCCTGTACCGATCAAAAATTACTAAATTCAAGAAATGAAACTTCATCGCACAGCTGCAAGCCAAGGCGTTTAAATTGACCTCTAATTTTTGAAATGCGAAAGCACGGCGCAAATTTAATAACCTTCACAAAAAAAAGTATCTTCTCATATAATATACATACATATTTTCCTACTGACTTAGATCGATATGACTTTTCGAAAAGGTTGTAAGCCTAATCAAAGATATTTTCAAACTAAGACCTCTTTCGTCGGACACCCATATTGTGATACATATGTATGACTTTCAAACATGTGGCAACCTTCCTAAATATATTTCAGAAGTAGAGCCTTTTAATTTGAGTGTAACTTTTTAAACACGTGGCAGCCCTCTTCAAACATTCCAAATGCTCAAACTAAAGATTTCTTACCACTCATAAAACTTGTGTATAAGCTAATACAATATGATTTTTCAAACAGGTGGCTACTCTCTTCAACAGTATTTTCAACTCATTTAACTCTCCTTTGTCTGACATTGCGAAACATATTTAAATTAACTAATGAATTTTGTTTGATTTTTTAAACATATGGCAACCGCACTAAATATGGTTCGGAAAGAAAGCCTTTTAAAACCCATTTTGACTGTTAACAGTCTTTCAATAACTCCTTTAACTGATTGATTAATTTGAATTTAAATTTTTAAACAGGTGGCAACCCTCTTTAAACATCTCAAAAATATTCCTAGGGCTGGATTCTCGATGTCTGATTTACTCTAATCTCCGGTCAAACATCGTTATCGTCGTTACTGAGTCTATGCTTATGACGCTGTGTCGGTAAAGTCGGCAACGATGTTTAACTGGGGTTTAGTGTTAACCGGACATTGAGAAACTGGCCATTAGTATTTAAACCAAAGATTTCTTAACACTCTTTCGTTTGACACTCATATTTTAATATTTCATATCACTTGTGTATAAGCTAACTAAATTCGACTTTTCAAGTAGGTGGCAACACTCCTACTAATGTATTCTTAAACCCCTTTCTTCTGGCGCCCATTTGGTGATCCATATTTCTCTTACTTAATTCCCTTAATTCAAATTGAACTTGATTTTTTAAACCGGTAACAACCCTCTTATAGTTAAGTTAAGAAACAAAGCTTTACAAAACCATTTTTATTGATACCTATTTTGTAATAAATGATTTATTTGTTTAGATAATTATATTCAACGATTTTTAGATAATTTTCATTAAATTTTTTTAATGTGGCAGCTCTTTTCAAAGAAGTAAAACCTCATCTACAACCCAAGCCTTATAATTTGACACCTTATTTTGAATCGAGCGAACGGTGCAGATCTGATGATCTGGATAAAAAACCCCATCGCATATTTAACATATACATATGTATGTACTAGTGAACCCGCATGACGCCAAAACGCCCAAAATTGAATTTAACATTTTAAATAGGTGACAACTCTATGCAAAAAAACAAAATATATATTCCAAATGTTTCATCTAATTCCGTCCGGTGGTTTTTTAGAGAAGAGAGTCACGCATGGTGTTGGTTTTCATTTCATAAAATTTCAATCACTCTGTACATCTGTTTTTTGAAATTCGAAATAACTGTACTGTCTGATGCCCTTAACAAAATATGTCTTCGCGTGCTATATAAGTATGTGTACTCAATCAGATAGATGATATAGGTGCAAACGCTAATAAAAAAATGTTAATATTTCATTTAACATGTGTATAAGTTAATTAAATTCCGCTTTACAAACTGGTGACAACCCTTTTTAAAAATCTTTGCAATCTTTTCGCCCGACATTGTGATATTTAAATAAGTCGGCAACGATATTTTTGTGTATTTCACTGACGTTATTCTATTGCAAGGTGTGTTTGATATGGAGGAAAAATTAATCGAGTTCGTACGGAATTGTTTCACGAAAAATATATGGATTTCGGGTTTAAAAATCATATTTGGAATCCTCGTTTTATCTAAGCCTTGTGAGCTCATTTTCGCTTTTTTATTTGATTTTCTGTTTTTTTTTTCATCTAGAGCTATAATTGCCAATTCATCATTGGTAAAATAAGTAATTTTTCTACACTGAACTTCACTTTACTGAAAGCAACGGCTGGCATACTACGGATGTGTGTAATTGGTATCACTGATCGATACTGATTGGCGCTGATACCGGCACGGCACTGCACTCGATTCTCCAAAAACAAAAATATTTTATGATGATGAAATACTAACTTATCAGAAGTAATTGAGAATAAACTACCCCGCTTATCAAAGAAAGTTATCAAGTGATTGACGTGGACGGCCTTAAAAATCGCGTGAATGAGAATTAAAATGCACAAACATCCAATTAAATTGGACTAAGGACACACATCAAAAATCTAAATTTTTGTAACGAAAATATTTGAAGTATTTTATCTGCTAATATGTACATTTGTTAACCGTAATTTTTCGTTTTGTGTTCATTTGCGTAATAGTGGGTTATTTTTGTAAAATTAGCAGAATTCCGGACATATTTGTATAAGTAATTTTGTCCACCTAAATTGTTGAAATATCGCACTGTGCTTTCGGTTGCACACACCATGATACAAATATAGTAAGGTAGAACCGCTGAGAGTCACTTTTAAGATTCTTGACGTTTCCAAACAATTTAATTTTTAAATTTACTCACAAACTCACACACAAATTTTCATTTTCAATCTCAAGCAACAACAATTTCGAACAATTTCAATTTTTTATTTTCACTTTTATATGACTTTAAAATGTTGGCAAACTTCAAAAAAAAAAATCATGGCCGACAAATTGAGAGAACGGTTCTACCCTGCTATGTTTTTATCATGGCACACACTACCTATAGAGAAATACGAGGAGGGTCACTAACAAGTCCTTAGATCAATGCCAACGCTGTGCACAGGACGATAATGGAAGATCGTTGCGTGAAATTAGGGTGTCCGTTATTTCGAAATTCAAATTGTTTTGCTTTTTCTGCCGCCCCATGAAATTTTGGTTTTGTTTTGGTTTGCCTTTAAAAAATATTCAATCAATAAATTTCTTAATTTTCAAACTAAACCGTGCCAAAATCATTTTACATTTCTCATTTCAATAACATGAGCATTTTGGGCTTTTTGCATACACATTTGTTTTCAAAAACAAGTAAGGTTAAAAATGACCAATATATCGTTTTCTAAAAATTTGTGTGCTTCACAAAAAAGGTTGCTTATGAATTTTTGTTAAATGTACGCCTCCAAAAGTTATTCAAGTGTACACTGCAGCACATACTTGGTATACACGGCGTATGTGTGATGATGAAATACAAAGTGGCCATATGCTCACTATCGTGAAGTTATGGGATTTTTGTTGATTTTCATGTACACAAACATACAAACATACATACGTACTAGGATGTCCGTTATGTCCCAAAATGGAACGGCAGTAAAACTTGAAAAATTATGAGGGTCTTCTCACTTAAGAAGTTTTTTCTTTTTAGCATAAAATTTTTTTTTCTCTGAAAAAAATATTTCAGCAATGATCAATATACATATATATATTGAATATTCTTTAGGACAAAAAAAATAAAATTCTTAGGGCGACAGCAAAAAAATAAATAGGGAAATAACGGACACCCTAATGTGGTGTATAGTGATATTCAGTATTCAACACTAAAAACGGCTCACGTCGATTAGTACATCCAAGCCCTGCAAAAATGCAAGCTCGCCACGACCAGACAGTTTAATTCCATCGTAATAGGTGACGTAACTTCGATATACCCGCAGAAAAAAGGCCAATGAGCTATTTGGCTCTTTCGAATTATGGGAAAAACCAACAAAGTTTTTGAAACAAATTGTCGCTTCTTTCTACGCAATAACGGTTCTTGGTGGCATACAACAATTTGTTTCGCAACAGTTTTAGAGGACAATTTCACTATAAATCACACTGCTCATTCTTACCCAGCGGTATTCGCAAGAGAGAAGTATATCCAGCCTGAACAGTAACGTTTATGCCATACCATTTGCAATACCAACTGATTTCCTTCGGCTTAATAAATGCTAAATCGATTTATAGCATTAGGTTTCAGGTATGATGTATGGCATGTAATTAACATGCACTGCACATTTCAGAACTTATAGTCCAATAATGATAATATAAATGTCAATCAAAAATGATTTCGGATGTAAACACTACGCTTGTCCGGGTTTAGTAAATGTTGTGGTTTTACAACACAACAAAGTCCGAAGATACAGCTTCATACAATTTCATTCCATGCGAGGCTTTATTTCAGGCCTAAATTCGTCATGCCAATACCAAAAAAAAAAATCTTTGGGCAGTAAGACTCTTTGAAATTGCGGGTTTATATCGTGCAACAGGTCGCATGAGTAACATTAATTTGTATGCGTATATACAAGTCAGCCTACACTGACACTGACTTGCCATTTTCTTTATGAAATGCATGGAACTTTCCTTGTTGTGGTTGCAGACTTCTTTATTTTGTGTTCCATTTACCGGAACCTTTTCTTTCGACTAATATTCGAGTCAGCTTCAAACTGTTTATCAACGCGGCAATCTGTTTTTGGGGTAACACCCACCTCTCTGGCAACTTTTCTAAAATACCAAGTACAGTTTGGTAGGGGCGTTGA